TTAGCCAGGCATTCTCGTAGGTGAATAAAATGAGGCAAATAAAATATTCTTAATATGCCTCTTAGTCCACGGGCATAAACTTTCAAACGAGGCTTTCTCAGATAATATTAATATTATACCTGCAGTTTAAGTCTAGAGATGCTTGGGAAAGCTCATGTTTAGAATTTACATGCTAACTTTCCTCAGAGAATTTACACACAATTTCGGAGTTATGGACGTTCATAAACCCATTTTTTTATTATCCTGCCCTAAATCATATTTTATAAAGCATTTAAATAAATTTTATGCTGACAGAATTGGGCCTGAATTATGAATTCTTGGTGCAAAGACAATATTATAGGCAATTTACTAGTCATCTTTGCCTAATTTGATTGTAATCGCAAATCTTAGATATTGTGTACCTTGAACATCTAGATTAAAAATATCTAAACTCTTCGAATTTTGTCTATTGATGTATTAAGTTATATAGAATTTAAAATGAAATTATTTTTATTTTTGTCTTTTTTTCAAATTATCAAATCTTTCGAGCAAAATTTAGTTTGCGAACGGTTGCAATTATTTTAACTATGTTTTAGGAACTTGAACTGATAGTCATTAGCTGAGAAAAAGCATATATAAACAAATAAATTAGCTTTAATAGACTAAGGAGAATTTTCTATGTCTTTTCATGAGAGCTCGAAAGTAGGACCGCTCTTGAAATCCTTTACGCATTTTGAAAGTTAAAGCATGCATGCCTTGATAAGTTTCTTAGCTAAACTGCGATATAAAATTAGTTTAAATGATTATATTATTCCTCAGTTTTATGAAACGAAAAACTTTGTATAGCACATAAAATAACTTAATAAATAAATCAATTTAAATTAAATGACTTTGTATAGAAGTTGTTTTACATTGTTTCACAACTTGGTCATATTGGTAGGAGGACTTAGAGGAACACACCTAGTCAGGAATCCATAGTATGCATGATAATTTGCGGTCGGACCATATACATGGTACATTTCCAGAAGTTTCGCCAGAATTGTAGTTAGTATCGTAGTCGGCATCGTCAGTAAGCCTTGCCACTCTCAGCACCACATCACAACGCGTCAGAGACAAGTGAAGCTGATGCTTTGACCAATTGTCTGCTAAACAATTGTGGTATCTCTCCTTTCTCCCAGGGGTATTCACCAATACTATATACTCGTGTCCCCCCTAAGAAAATTTCATAATTGCTTATTTTAATTTGATATGGTGTGTCCTTTTGAGCGAATTTTATGAAGACCCTCAAAATCCAGGCTGCTTTCTCACCCTCACACCATAATTTTATTCCGATAGGTCTCATCAGAGTCTCTCTCCTGCCCTGTAGGATCCGCCTCCTACCTTCCTGGTTCTGGTATTTCACTCGACCCCTGCCGTCCTATCTGTACTACTTAAGGCTTAATTTTCCAATGTCTCAATCCTTTGATGGCACACCTACTGCTGCCTCGCTGTGTAGGCCCCTAAAAATCAGGATTCTCAAGTCCGATGGAAGAATAACTTGAGGCTAAGGAGCCCGAGTAATTCTCATGGTCAAGCCTTTGCTTCATGTACCACGTCCATGATCAAACACGTCTTTTGTTAGCCAACTAGCTCTAGTTTCCGCTGCAACTATCTTTCAATGGCACACCGACTAGGGCAGTGATTCCCAAACTGTGCGCCGCGAAATACTGTAAAAGCTTTAATTTGAGAAAATATGTAGTGATTTGCAGGCTCATCCATCACATTAATTATTAATTATTAATTTAATGCTAATATAATATTTAAAAATAATGAAGATACACGAGTTTTATTTATTTTTATCTCTCACTTACGCATAGTCATAATTAGGGTAGGACGTCATGGAAAAATGTTGATTGAAAAAGGGCGCCTCGACTAGGAAAAGTTTGGGAGCCACTGGACTAGGGCATATGACGCTATTGCCAGAAACACGATGGATGTGGTGGAGACTAGAGCTAGTTGGCAAGCCGTAGACGCGTTTGATCATAGACATGCTAAGTACAACAAAGGCTTGACCATTAGAATTAATCGGGGTCTTAAGCCTCAAGTTATTCTGCCAACCAGCTTGGCAATCCTAATTTTTAGGAGCATACTCAGTGAGGCGGCATTAGGCATGCCATCAAAGGATTAAGACAATTTCGGGAATAAAGCTTCGAGTAGTACAGATAGTATGGCAGAGGTCGAGTGAAATACCTGAACCAGGAAGGTAGGAGGCGGATCATACGAGGCAAGAGAAGGAATGATAAGACCTATGGGAAGAGACATGCGGGGTGAGGGGACTAGAAGGCCAGCGGGGAGTTTGGAGAGTTCTCATGAAATCCTATCAAA